AATACCCTAATCTTATTTGCTTACACAAGAAATTTAGCCATCTTAAATATTACCTAGGAATCAACTTCAGTCAGAAGAAACACCATTTAATCTAAAGAAGAGTTGTCCTTCACTGAATTAAGAATGGATAGAATATCTAAAAGGATGATTACATTCAAAAACAAAATAATTCTCAATTTTTACAAACACAATTTCTACTCATTGTAGGGATATATTTAAGAACCACTTTCGAATGTGCCTGAAATGAAAACATAATCCTATCTTAATGTGAAATAGTACTTTAGAAATATACAGTATGGGAGAAAATATTTACAATAGGCACTGTTAATGATTTAGGCATGCTTCTCATCCCCATTTGCCCTTGATGTAACACCAACTTAGATTTCCCATTGCCAAAGGATAATAAGTGTATGGTGCATAAACATTTCTACTCCCAAAATCAGAACCACAGTAAAAAGATAAAAAGCAAGATATAGATACAATAATGCAGGGCTTTTCAACTGGTAATACACATACCACTGGTGGTACTTCATCACCTGGCAGGTGGTATGTGACCTAGACAAGTGTAGTGGGGAGGATGAGCTGAAGTGGTGGCAGTCCTGCACAGGCCTGGGGGAAAGTCAGCTGGTTCTCTGTGGAGGGCCTAGGATTGGCACAAGAGGCTCCAGCGGATTGGTGTTCCAGAGTCAGCTGGAGCTGCAGTGTCACCTGGGGGTCTGCTGGGGGCCCTGGATCAGGGTAGGCAGCTGATCAGAGCTTCCAGCAGCCTCTGCTATCACCAGGAGCAGCAGATAGGCCTTGGGGTGAGAGAGTCAGCTGGAGCTACAGGGCTGCCAGGACTTGGCAGAAGCCCCAGGATCGGTGCACATGCAGCTCCAGCTGATCAGTGCTATGTGCAATGGCCAGCCGGGGAGTGGGTGATGGCATGGGGGAGTGAGACTGGGGTAGTGACCAATGCTGGAGGTCTCCCTGAGCTCTAAAGAATGGTCACCCAGAAGAGAAGAGGAGGAAAGGGGAAAGAGAAGATATAAAAGGAGGAGGGTTTTTTATAAATATTTTATTAATTTTCTAGTTTTACAATCATAAGTACTTAATAAACAATGTGTTATCTGGGTCCATTAGTAATTCAGTGGTACATATTAATTTCTTCAATCTAGACCCAATATTACACCATCCAGTGCTTCTTCTCTTCTTCCAGTAGTACACATTTTCCCACACTAGGCAAATACAATTCTTGTTGCTGTTAATACACATACAATTGAATATCAACATCTTTGTTACGGTTTCCTAATAATATCAATAATGTCAGTTTAAAATATATTTTCCAACCAAAATATATCTTAATTGCATTTGCACTTAATATCCATTTATTCAATTAATATCCTGTTTTTCATGCTTTATTTTTAAATTTTAATTTCCCATCAGTGTTCAAAATGTCTCTTTCGCTTATAATTTCTCATAATAAGTTATATTTGTGTAACCAAAAGCTTCCCTTATACAAACCCTCTTAGCATTTTCATGTTTCCCTTCTCATACCAAAATATAATATTATAGTTGCAAATCCTATCTTTCTAGTTATAATAATACTTCTATTTCTAACAATTACCTATTCTCAGCCATCTGATTAATGGTATAATATTCCATCTAATGGGTCAAAACCTGTATTTTCTTTAGTCTTACTCTAATTTTCTTTCTTTGCCAACTAACTTTCCAAGTCAACGCATTTGAATCATCAAGTAATTCTTCCTCTATTTTTATGTATATTGTTTGGAAAAAGAAAGACAATTTGATTAAAGTATTTTTGGAAGGACGCTCAGCCCATTGATATTCATTAAACAGCCTCCCTCCTTCTCCAATTTCCCCCTATTCTCCTACAGCTATATCTTCCATTCAATCAGCTTTTCTTTCTTATCCTCAGGTGTGTTCTGAGGTCTTGACAGGTAAGATATCTTTTCCATTTCCAATATGATCTCTGTCTTCTAATTCTTCATTTGTCTGAGTGTGTCTGCTAGTTCATTTCTTTAGGTCCTTCATCTTTGGATCTGCCTCCTCTGATTTTCCTTCTATTTTCTGGGTGGCTAGTTCCTTCTTTGTAGTCTTTTTCTGAGTTTGTAGATTTAGATTAAAAATTGTTCTTTTATCTCCTTTGTGTTATTTTTGGTCTCATCATGAACTTTCCCCTGCTGGTTTGGAGGGCTTCCTCAGATCAAACGGAAGGGCTGCCATCCTCCCATGATCAATGAGGGTCCCTCTTTCTCTATCGCCTCTTTGGGACAACTTTTGACCCTTTTTAAGGTTCCCAGTGGGGCAAAATCGAACGTGGAAGATGGAGCCCCATCTTCCTGCACCTATCACGCCACAATATCAATCCAGAACACCTTAAAAGGATGAGGTTTTGACAGGAGAGGGATAGAAAAAAAAATGACAGGGAAAGAGAAGGGGACAGAGAAAGAAAAATGGAGATGAAGAGAAGTTTCTATGAGATAAGCAATGCGGAGAAAGAGAAAGAAAGGAGAGAAGAGGCTTCTGTGAGACAAGCAGATGAATCAACAGAGTAGAGGCTGTAAAAGAGAGAGAGGAGAGAGAGAGAGAGAGAGAGAGAGAGAGAGAGAGGCCAACAAGACACCTGACCACCAAGGTACTAGTGCATATTAATAAATATTGATAAATCTATCATACATTCGTCAGGGCAAAGGGAAAGTGATTCAACAAAGGAACCACCACTGAAGAAATTAAAACCAGCACATTTTTCACTTTTTGGGGAGTCATCAAGTTTTTGACACCTTGCTAGGTATTCAAATATTGTCATGTCTTAAAAGTGGTACAATCTGTGAAAAGGTTGAAAAGCACTGCAATAATAAATTAAAGTACTTACTTTAGAAATTACATCAGAGTAAGGAGGATTGGTTGGTTGTTTGGCTTCCTATTTACAGCATTTCTACTTGACCTTTGTATGTGCACTTGGCTGAGCTGTTACTGATATAGCATTCTGTTCACAGATTTCCAAATGGGAATTTCCTAGGATCAGAACTAGGATTTTTCTATGCAGACCAGATCAGTATATTCATAATTCTGGATCTCTTTAATTAAGACTTAAAGTCTAGACAAGACCCCCATTTTGCAATAACTACCAACAGTGAGTATTATTAGAAAACTGTGGTAGAGTGTAGCATGCTTCAGTATGAAAAATGAGGATAATCCCAGCCAACTGAGTTACTTCTATCTGCATGATGTGTGGTTTTAAATGCCCCTGGAAAAGTAATGCCATTTCTTTCTTTCTTTTTTAGCCTTTTTTGTTCTGTGTAATGTTCCTAGAAAAGAAATAGAACTCACATTGTTTTCCTTCATAGGAGAAATGTAGAGTTTACAAATGTTCAGCTAAATTGAAAGAGGGAGAATAGGGAAAGACAAAAGAAACATCTTGGTCAAGTTGGTTGGCTATAGAACTTGAATAAATAAATTTCTCTGAAGTAAATGACAGAGAAGAAAGCAGAAAAGGAAGAAACAACAAAAACCACAGCAGTTCAGCTCATCTCAAAAGGAATTGCACACCGTAGCTGTAATACTTTATTTATTTTTAATTTAATTTAGGGGAGTAATGAAGCCTAGGTAATTAATGGAGGGGAAATTGATTTTGAAGAGGAGGCTGAATTCTATGGTGAGAAAATAATTGAGATAATAGATACAAGAACTGATCTGAGTGATCAGAAATGGGATGTAAATTAAATGTATAATTTATATTGGGACACTTGTGTCAGGAATTAATGTATTCCATGGACCAAAAGTCTTCTTAGTATATATTAATGCTTCAAAACTTTAGTTCCACAAGAGGCAAAGACCTAGTCAGGAAGAGCAGGATGTACATATTTTTGCTTTCAGTCATTTCTGATGTCTAGTCATTCTAGTGTGAAACAAGTTTGTCACAGGGGATCCTGATACAAACTCTCACATGGCACAGGGCCCATTAAGGTCAAATATCATACATTGTTTCCAAACTAGCTAAACTAGAAATGAAACACAAGTACTCTGTGATGACATAAATGATCCGTGCCAAAGAAACTGATTTCAGCTTCAGTTTCCAGTCAACATAGCTCCTAAATTACTGTCAGGTCCCTCACTGATAGCATAAACCTGCTTATACATGCACTTCAGCAATATCTGGAGGGCTACATATTCTTCCCCTCTGTGTCTGTTACCATACCTCTGAAGGCTGATGGGCTGTATGCTTATTTCCCTGACTGTATTCATTGTCCAGTTTTCATAAAAATCTCCAAACATTTGGAAATTCCAAAGATTGTGCATTTTTCCAAAATGAACGTATTAAAATGGATCCCATATTCTCCTTTCAGAAATCTCTATATTTGAATGGATCATGTTGAGTAAACAAGGCAGATTCAGTGCATGCTTCATTTTTAAAATTACTTAGGTTTTTAAATGCTCCAATATAGTAACCACTCCCCAAAATTAGTCAGATTATGACCAATTGCCATATGCAGTTATTCTAAAGATGACTGGAGATCAATAAATTGGGGACCAGTCAATCATTAAAAGTTGCCATAATAATAACAATCTTGGATTTTACAGCAAGCAACATATTGAGCTAATGTGGTGTAGCAGTTAAGGGATAGACTAGGAACATGGGATCCAAATTCTAGTTTTTGGCCACTGGGTTTCATTGGATGACTTTAAGCCAATTGCTCTTTTTCAATCTAGTCTCAGTCATAGCATTACTGTTATGGGGAAAATATACTATCCATAGATATACTAAAAGCATATCTATGCATAGTATTTTTGATATATATATATATATATATATATATATATATATATATATATATATATAGAGAGAGAGAGAGAGAGAGAGAGAGAGAGAGAGAGAGAGAGAGAGAGCGCAAAAATACTATTAAACCTAATATTGGTTTTAAAATATTAAATATTCATGAAAGAGATTGAAATAGCTAGTAGCTATTTAAAAATGGGTTTTAATCTTTATGATTTCACAGGCATGGTCATTCAACCATTTTCTTGGCAACATTGTGGAAGTAGCTATGTCCATTTTGGCAGCAATTGTCTGAAACTCTCCTCAATATGATCCCAGAATTTTAAATGTTCCCACTTAGCCAAATAATTGCAACAGATGATGAGAACATGAAATATAATGATTGTGGGAATAATTGTGATTTAAAATATTATATTTAAAAGTGCAGTTTTTTTTAAAATATATATAGAAAAGCAAAGCTGGAGCAAGGAAAGATGGCAACGAGTTGGACAAGGAAGTAGGAAAATCACTGCAGTTAATGATGCCCAACCTGGTAATACCATGTGATGGATTCCTTCATGTCAGTGTTTGACAAGTCCCTGCAGTTTTCTTGGCAGTGGGCTTTCAAAAATGGCTTGCCATTGTCTTACTTCTAAAGTTGAGAGAGAATGACTGGCCCAAGTCACCCAGCTGGCTTTATGCCTAAAATAGGACTAGGATCATAGTCTCACAGTTTCTGGCCTGGTGCCTTAAGCACTACACCAAATGCATCTCAAGACATGGTTAGGAGTATTAATATCATTGGTATGATGTTATGTCGGTATTGTTTCTTCTCTGTCGTAGCATCGGCAAAATATCAGTACTCATGGTTAATCATACTAGCTGCCTTCTCTGATGGTGGTGGAGAATTATAAGTATCAGGACTGCTGCAGGCAGGAAAAGAGAAATCCATATAACATGCAGCCCTGACCAAATAATACTTTTGGCTGAAATGATTCTCTACAGTGGGTTCAACAGGAATCTTTTTTCCTTTTCCAAAGGAACCACAATGACTGCCGTTGCAGGGGTCCCTTTGCTAAAAAAAAAAAAAATCTTTATTATGTCCCATCCTTACCAGATGTAATTTTTTTAAAAAAAAAATACACATTAAGTTTCTAGCCCTTTGATGCCTATTCAAGAACCGTATACACATGACCACAAACACACAGATGCATAAAATATGCAAAGGAAGTTAATAGCCAATCTTCATTTACTGCAACATGCACTACATGCTTGTACATGAACTCCAGGGAAAATGTGATCAGCCACAAGCATTCCATTCCCAGCATCCAAGCAGCAACAGCCTTTGCTGCCAGCTTCTTATATTGCACTTATCAGAGTGTGAGAAATCTCTCAATGGAAGAGAGTAAAACAAGAGTCCACTGTTTCTGCAGTCCAGTCTTGGCACACTCCATCTCCCTTGCCTTTAGAAAAACAGTTCTTAAAAAAAACATAAACCCACCAAGGGCAGATGGCCCCAAGGTATTAGATACATGTGCAATGATTAACTGACAGCACTATTTCACTCAGTCACTGTTAACAAGAAGGTGCACCCGATAAAGAATTGCTTTTATTTTGCTGAATCCCCAATCTCACTGTCTATTTTAATCAATATTATGTGGAAGGTCCAACCAAGCAACATTTGGGAGAATAGAAGCATTTCTCAAGCTGGTGAAACAGCAATACATTCTCTTTTCCAATTTAATCATTCTGCATTATATAATAGCTTAGATTTTTATTGTTTGTTTTGCCCTGAATTGCTTCTTCATGCATAGCAAAGAGTACATAGATCACTAGATTTTATGTAGAACACAGAATTCATTGTTGCAAATAAAAGATTATTATAATCAGAACCAGCTTCTACTATCACAGTGGAAGCAAAGAGATCTGATGAAATGCATGTGCAGAATTACTTATAAATGTATAGAACTCTTTCCTTCAATGAACATGGTAAATCAATAAATGAGTAACAGCAGCCCAGAAGTTTAAAAAAATCGTAATCACTTTTATATAAGATGTTTCACAAGACACATGCCTGCTGTTAACAAAACCTAGGATTGTTATGATCTAAACATTAATATCCAACTTTTAATAGGATAAAATCCAGAAGTCATGATGTGTGTCCACAAAAAAGTACACACTGTAGTAAAGCACTTGAAATATATGGGATCGCAGGGAGCTCACAGGACATTCTGTACATTGAGAGCCTAAAGAATGTTTGGCTGATAAATGATAATAACAGTCTAAGGGGACACATTAGTAAGCAGAGAGTCCCTAAACACAGCTGCTGGGAAAACATAGTTAAAGGCAGTCTTGTAACCAAAATAAGATAACAACAATTGAATACATGAAGAAACAGGGTTTTGACTGATTGCCTTGTAGTAGAATCATTGTCTTGTTCAATATTCAGTTTGTTTAAAACTTGCCTCTCTGAGCTGTCATCAAAATAGAAGGATACTTAAGACAAAAGATATTGGAAATCTGGCTACATGAGGTTAATAGTCTTACCTTCCTTCTCATTAATTAAACTTGGACCCTTTCCCTCAGGAATCTATGTTACTGTCCAGATAGTGCTCACAACTGAATATTTTCCAGATGCATTGGATGTGGAAAGTATAGAGTCCAACTAATACAAAGATCATCAACAGAGAAGTATAGCAGAAAGAAAAGGAATCAAGGCAGTTGTTCCTTTGAAAAAAAATAAAATAAAATGACCTTTTTTTTATGCATAACAAACTTATATAGGACAATCTTCAAGCATTCACTGAAATTTCCTATCAACAGCAAATTTCTGGAAACAATTTAAGTATACAAATAGGACATCTTAATGATAGTCTTCTCCAATACAATAGATGGATTGTGTTTAAATTATAGTATGTATTTATAAATGTGTATTTATGCACTATTATTTATCTAAATCCATGCTTTATCTAAGACTGTACTATGACTTTATTATTTAGTAATCATTTTCTTTTGTATGGTTACCGTATATGGGAAGGTATATCTGATTTGTCATCACAGGACTGTATGAGATAATAGGAGCTGTCTCCTGGGGCAGTAGCCTCAATAAATGCTCCATAATGTTAATTTTTGGCTTTACCATTTGTCTTAGTAGCAGAACATTCCAGGAGCAGTAAGGTATTAGTGTCATATGTATTCATAAAATGTATGTTGAACATAATAAGATAACCACCAAGCAAACAATCTAGCTTTATCTAGCTGCAGCTTAACTGTAACTGTAGCTAAGCTGTAGCTTAGTTCCAGCCTTAGTAGTGGCATACCTTTGAATTCCCTTTCACATATCCTGGAGATATACTAGCTGCAAAAATCCAATACTTAACTCCAACATGTCCCTCCCTCCCATTTCCACTCTATATTATGCATTTTAACTATAGATTCCGTGTTAGCTAACACAATAACATTATATACTATATGAACATGATAATGAAGACAGAGACCACATAACTAAAATAAAGATGTGGCTAAACAACAAAGCAACTAAACAACAAAGCCTATGATGCCTATGAGATGGATAGATTTATTCTTACTAAAACAGTTACTGCATCTTCTCTTGAATATATAAGATACCTTCACAATAGCTAATCAATGTATCTGTCTAAGAATAATGAAGAGTCTAGGCATACTTAGAGAGTTGCTATTGTCACCTACATTCCTACATGTATCCCAAATTATTAACAGTATTAAGGGTATCCCATAAAGAATCAGGACTATTTAAGGTTGGAACACCTCATGCTCCCCCCCTTCCCCTTCCAACACCTACTCACTTCACAAACAGTTCCTTGTGAGGTTGGGGGGATCTTCTTATCTCTTTTATCTGGAGTAAATCTCAGATTCATGATCTTCCAATGCCAGACTTATTGCCTCAGAAGAGTGGTGGGTCTGAAACTACAAAGTGTTTTAGACAAGTTTATCCTTTTTAAATAGGATTCATATCTGAGCATACAATGGCTGCTTTGGTGGGTAACAAAAAGGATCATACAAAATGGGCAACGTGTGCTTATTTTGATCCTTTTTGTCCACCATTCAAGGTAGGTCAGGTCAAGAAACAGACATCACAAGAACGACTCTTTCATTATAGGGTATAATAAGGAAACCTCTATTGTTATGGAGGCTACTCATCTAATCATTGGGCAATTATTAATCAAGTGTCAAACACAAAAATGGCTAGCCCATCAAATCTTGCTCCCATTGTTCAGTAAATGTTGTTCAGTACCCAAATACAGTACTACAAGTACTTGTATGTAACAGTGTTGCTTAAAGCAGAAGCTTTTCCATCTGAAATACATTAAGAGACCCTGGACAAGTTAAGAATCTTGGCAGAATGTAAATAAGTATAAAACTAAGTGGGGGTTTTTTCCTTAAAAATTGCAAATATTACTGCACAGCTACATTTTATAAGAAAAGAATTGTGGAAACCTACAAATAAAATTATAATTATGATAATGAATGTATAATTTATGCAGAGAAGATGGGAAATATGCAAGGTATATACAATATATCTCTATATTCTTTTATATCTATTGATAGGTTATAAATCTTTGAAGGATGCTGAAACTTTGCATTGGTTTGCATTATTTTCAAAGAGCAATGATTTCCAATTTTTTTCTTTTTGTTTGTAATTAAATTACATTTTTCTGCTTTGCAATGCCAAAGAAGCATAAGGAAATATAAACTTTGAGATGTTTCTGATTTATATGGACATCAGAGCATTTTGCTCCTGCGTAAACATTTCTGGTGACATGAATATGGATAACTTCAAATCTTAGCCGAGTTCATTACGATAGGTAGCATATGTTTTTGACTCCTGAACCAGGAGGGAAAATGAGAATACCCAGCTTTGCCAATAACCAATTTGCCAGTAAATTGTAAACAGTTGGTACCCCCGTAAGCAAAAGACCAAAATAATTACTGTAGCTGTGCCTTGAAGTAGCCAGCTCATTTTTATGTTTCCTTTCTGTTTGCTTGCCTTTCATTCTGCTGATTTAATGTTCTGCAAGTTTTGTAGACATGGGCTAAATATAAGCTTTAGGCTTGCTTCTTTGTACTTTTAAATGTACAAATGTCATTCTGCTAGATTCCTAGAGCAAATATAGCTATGAAAGAACCATGCATGTAAAAAACACAATCACCCCTTGGTTAGTTTTCAGTCAACTCCTACTTCAATTCCCAAACCATCCACACACACTTAGCTTACTTAACAAAACAAAACAAAACAAAATCTCACCAAATGGACACTTACTTTCAGGCTTATATGTGCCTGCTTGGAAAAAAATATATAAATGCGATAATAGGATTAAATAAAATTGTTTAAAAATATTCTAAAGTAGGGTAATAATAATGCCTAATGATGCAGAAGAGACCTTCCATGAAGTTGAGCTTGAAGGAAAGTAGTCTATCAGGCATCATTTGAGAAGAAACAACATTGGTAGATGTTTTGTTTGCATACAATGAATAAGGGTCTGTTTCTAGGTTTCTCTGTTTGTCTGTCTTTCTGGCTAGCTGGTTGGCTGGCCGCCTGTCTCTGTCTTTATCTCTCTCTCTCTCTCTCTCTCTCTCTCTCTCTCTCTCTCTCTCTCTCTCTCTCTCTCTGTGTGTGTGTGTGTGTGTGTGTGTGTGTGTGTGTGTTTGGCAAAGAAAATTGTCAGAATTCAGGAAGGTCAGGGGTTTTTTTATGTTCTTGTTATTAGAAGCATATGTGTATTCCTGTTCAGGAGGTAGGGAGCCCACAGTCCAGATCTAAAGGAAAGGAAAGAAGAAAGGAAAATAATAAAACAATTGAAGAAATGAAGTTACTTGAGAGCCTGCTTGTTATCCTACATCTCAGGACAAAAAAAAATATTTCAAAGCTACTAGTGGTGTGCTTCCTAAATAAAATGAGCACATGATATTACAATGCTAGAAATACTATGGCTGCATGATTATTTATGGATATAATAAGATCACTGCTGTAGAAATCCAGACATTAAAGAAATACAGAAAACTAAGTCTGTGGATTTTAGCAGTTCAGGTGTAGTAGCCCTAAGATCTAAAAGTCTAAACACAGAAACACAATACAATACATACATATGTACATACTCGCATGATAGTCCTGTTCTATAGAATATACTGTAGAAAAGGTAAAGAAACAGTAAACCAAAGAAATTAAAATTATAAGATTAAAAAAAAGAAAAGGGAGCATAGGTAAAACTAGATTAGGCCAATACAATTCACCATACTTGTCTATAATTTTCTGTCCATACAAATCTCCATTGCTTCCACACATCTACATACTACTATATGTACATTGCTTTTTGTTCTTTAAACTTACTTCTCTGTTTGAAGAGTTTCATCAGCTGCATTGAAACACATGCCAATTTTATTTTTCTATTGACTTATTTACTTTTTCTTCATATATTTATTTTTCAATATTCATTTATTCTCTCTGTATGATCAAACTATTCCAATGTATTTCTTTCATACTGTTGACTTATTTTTATATTAAATCCTCATTTAGTCATCATCCATTATTATTGATCCTAGTTTCTCTTTTCCATTCTCATAAGTTAAATATCATATTCACACTTTCTTTTTTTTAAATTTCTGTCTCTATTAAGGTACTCAACTTTTATTTCTTTGTCACAAAATGGGCCTTCTTATATACAGGGCTTTTTTTCTCATAGAACGCCCAGAATGGAGTTCCGACACCTTTTTTGAATGGAGCCTTGTAGGGTAGGCAAGGCGGGTTGTTTGACGTGTGTGAATTCCGGCACCTTTTTTTTTTTAAAGCACTACTTATATATATAAACATTGTAACTCTTTACTATACATACAAAGATTTATTATCCCAAGAGCTGGATTGTATCCCTGACCCAGCTAATCCAGGAATCTGTATTCAGTTTGGCCAACCAACTGCACAATGAAGACTTTTAGTGTTGTAACAGATTGAATCTCACTGCATCAAGTCGAATAACCATTGATCTACATGACATCAGTGAACCAGTCCAACCCTAAAAACCTATAAATAACTTGTATCCAAAACATTGTTGGAAATGTTGGATCATGTTTTCATACTTGGTAGCAATGTTATAAAGTTCAACATTTTTGGAAGGTGATTCACATAGAATTTATCAAATCTTAAATATCAAGTTTTCTTTTCTCCCAGTTGTTTTTCTGCTAATAATTCTTTATATTTCTATACAACTGCTGCATGGAATTGATTCTGTATATAACAGTTGCAGGTTATTGTATGCTTCTTATTGAAAATTACATATGGTTCTATTTAAGCTGGGAGAATATGCATTGATATGAAAAATAACTTTGTATTTAAAAATGAATATAATTTAGCCTGGAAATAATTTAGAGACTGGTTTTCTACATGGACTTGTATGTCATCCAAGGTTTGAGTTTCTCTCTACATAAGGTTTTAAAATATTTGTTTCGCCTGCTTTGTTATAATAAGGATACATTTTTAAAACAAATTACAGAGAAACTTATTTATTATGACTGATTATTTTTATTATATTGGTTACTTGTGTTAATATAATTCAATTATATTTAAATGATATATTTAATATTCATCTGTTAACTTTGAAAGTTTTTGCTCAGATTTAAAAAGTCTGTAAATTTATCTTTTTTTGTTTTTAATTTTTTTCTTGATAGTGCTTCTAAATAAATGATACAATAAAATAATATAATAAAAATATGAAAATAGTCTCCAGACTAATGATTCTAGCTTGCTTGGAATAACATCAATATGCTTCAGATAAAACCAGACTTTGTAGCATACTGTCAAAATATGCCCAAACTGATCAGTATTACTTTCACCATTAGCAAGGATTACTGTTTATTCTAGTAACCAACTCTATATTTTCTCCATATTATTAAAAAGTATTGTGTGAAAGCCTATCTCAGGATACACCCGCATTGTCATCTTATACAGTTCAACTTATTTAGCAGGGAACTATTAATGTTTTATTAAAAAATAAAAGAATTTGGTTCCCCAAATATTACGATTCTAGGTATTGATCTGTTATTAATTTTTGAGGAAAAGTGAATGAGGCTGAGAAAGATGTTTACTGTAAGATAACTGATTTTGTTTCCTTCCAAAATAATTCAAAATGTTCTTTTTATCATGCACTTTAATAATGATTATATCCATGGTCATTGTACTTGGAATTCAGTATCTTTAGAAATATATTCAAACATATAAAACCACTGGAGCACATCCTATTTACAAAATAAATCAGAAATCCTAATATATTATAATTTTGCTTCAGGCCTTTCTATACTTGTATGTGCAATAAAAAGTGCAATTGTTGTTAAATAATTGTGCAATATTCAAAGATCTTTCCATTAGCTATCACATCTGTTATAATATCACATCAAGAAACAGTATTTTCACAGCACCTAAGCAGCGATATTTTGTTAGTGGGAAAATGTATAGTTAGTTATCCATATTCATGAGATGTCCATTCAATTAAACTATATCCCTTAGCAAGATGTACATAATGTTTGAGGCACCTCCTTACAGGCACCTAGCTAATAAGGAAATAAGCTGTTGACCTCATTTATTCCTATACCATATAGGAATAATATACTTATTCCATACAGGAGTAAGTATTTAAAATACTTAATAGTATCTAAAATACTTAATTTTAATCTATGATATATCTTAGTACAATCAATTGGCATTCCTCACTGAATGTCAATAGTTTCAGACAGCAGTCATTGCAGATGTACTGTCAGAGACTGGATTTCCTCGTGAACTGAACATTGTTTCTGAAAGCAGTCATTGGTTAAAACAGAGTACGTCTCAAAGTAGAAGGTTATTTTTTTATTTAAATGTGTAGTACAAAATAACTTTTCCAAGACCAATAAACTAATCCATCTATATTTAACAGGGACTTCCATTTTCTCCCGATTTCCACTCTTGGTTTTGACATATAGCTTCCTTCTGTTTCTTAGCTTTGGCAGTTTCTTTTTCATTCATTCATGGAGAACTATTATTTCAATCCATAATGATTCTGTATTAATGAAATTCAAAACAATTCCTAATGTTCTGCTTGAAAATGGTAGATATAAGCTCAAGATCATATCCTAAAAGCTGACAGACCTTGATCTTCTGCTTTAGTTTGAACTAGGTATTTGCATATGAGTAGGTTGTGATTTGTTCTACATTTAGCTCTTAGTAATGTATTTGCTGTTATAAATGAGCTTTTCCACATTGTTGCATCAATAATATGGTCAATTTGATTTTTGTAAATGTATGTATGTAGGCATTGTTTTGGTTACATGAAGACTGTGTTAGCAAAAAAAAAAAATCATTAGATTTTCAGAAATTGATCTCTTTTCCTCTTTCATTTCTGTTTCCTAGGTCATACAGTCCAACTACATTTTCTTCTTTCCCAAGTTTGGCATTTTCTATTGATTTCAGATTAAACTTTAAACATAAAGTATCAATGTGAACAATTCATTTCATTTTTACTATGTTGAACTTTCCTATGTCGATGCTTCTTATAATCCATGTTCCTGCTGTCCTTCTTTCTTTGCAGCTTTAGATTTTTTTTTCCTGCATGGCAATATCAGCAACTGGACATCCTGAATGTTGTAGCCATAACATAAACTCCATTAATATTCTGAAAAATTCTGAACTCTTTCTGAGCAGCATGTTGAGTGCCATGAGCTGAGGAATACTTCATTGTCAATTACATCTTAGTAAAGTACATTCCTGTATTTTATACTTTGGCATCCTTTACTCACCTCTCTGAGGAACATCCCCCAATAAATCACCATAATGAGGTAGCATAGCAAGACTGGAAGGTAGATGTAGACACACACATACACTAACCTGCTGTAGTGGTTAAGTGTTGGTGTTGGACTTAGTCTGATCCACAATCAGCTAGAGAAGTTCACTAACTGATGTTAGCCTAATCTTTCCTAAAGTTACTGGTATTGAAAAACAAAGAGTCAGAGAAGATCATAGTCTCAAAAGGCAAAATACCAGGGTGATGAAAGAAACACATTTTGATTGGAAATGTGATTAATAATTTAAGGGATATCCAGCATTTTACAGATGTTAAAGCTACTATTAATTTATTAGTTCTTTTTTTAAAAAAAAAAAAAATTGAGATCCAGAATCTTTCAAGAACAGAACAGCATCTGATTTTAAACAGCGAACTGCCTATCATATACAGACACTTATATATTCATATATTTGTTTCAGGAGATCCTCTATTTTTATTTCATACAATCTTAAAAGTGAAACCACAAGTATTACTGTCAGGGCTTTTTTTCTCATAGAATGGCCAGAACAGAGTTCTGGCACCTTTTTGGGATGGAACCTTGTAGAGTAGGCAAGGCGGGTTGTATGACATGTGTGAGTTCCGGCACTTTTTTTTTTTTTTTTTTTTAGAAAAAAAGCACTGATTACTGTTAATTTAAAAGGATGCTCATTATTAGTAATCAGGAGCCAAATCAAATATAAAAGAAAATACAAACTTGACCTGAGATTAGAATTTTCAATGACACACAACATTGTGTACAAACCTCCAAGTGACTCATGCATCTACACAAAAAAGGTTTCATTGTTTCTAAGATAAATATTAGTAGAGTCCAGTATGTGGAAGACAAATGGTGATTCCTTTATTAACTGTTTAAATCTGCAGAAAAGGTTGTCAGGGTTGAAGCAATGAACTGAACTTTGAACCATAATATAACTTGCTTCTTTGGGCAAAGAAGGAATCAACTGCAAGTAAAAGATCAAACAGCAACAGACCATTGTTCTGACAGCAAAGAGTGTAACATGGTCTCTTTGTTCCTCATTAGTTCCATGCAGTTCTCAAGTAGAATTTGTTCCGGTTTTATTCAAATATTATTATGTGAATTTACTAAAAGAATGAGAACACAATGATAACTCAGAAACAATTGAAACTTTTGTCTCTTTCTTTTTTCTCTCTTTTAGCCTTCCAAGTAGAAACAGATACCAAAGTAACACACAATCTTTACTCACTCTTTTACAACCTGCTGCTGTTGTAAAAGACAACAGCAGGCTATCAGAAAACAAAAAGGATCTAATATAAGAATTAATGCAAAATATGTAAAAAAAAAACACTTCAGTATATATCTTCATAAGTTTTCACAGGAAATACAAGATTAACTGTTTAAAATGCAACTTTTTATATTTTATGCATATTATGATTTTTAGCATATATCAAGTTTGTGTATACAGGGTTTTGCTGTTGAATATTTTCTGAGCAGGAAAGAATTCCATCATCCATTGCCTGAAAATAGAAAACAGAAAACAGAGGTTAACCATATAGTAAATCCTTGCTCTAGTTAAGAGAACTAACAATCAAGATTTAGAAAAAGACCACATCCAGTAGACTAGTCAATGTTGCTTCTAGAAGTACTTACTCAAAATGTTGGTGGCTTTAAATTCTCTCTCTAGCCTTCCTTCTCTTTACCCAGTTCTCAAGGTTTACATCTTCTTTCTATTCTTCCCTCCATCATTCATGCCTTACTTTCAAGTTCATGTCAGTTGTAAATGAAATGGCCACACTGTTTTCATATTCAATAGCAGAAGTTCTGTTAACTTTAGGGCTAGCACACATGAGCTGCAACAATTTGAATGAGCAAGAATGGCAGCAAAGAGTTAACATTTTTTGTATCTTTTTCCTCCTGCCAAGTATTGGTCATCTAGATTTTGCAACCATGATACAGGAGCTGCAAATTATTTTTATTATATTTATTTCCCCCTCCCCATCTCATTTTGAAGCAACTCTGGGCAACTTAAAACATTAAGAAATCTTAGAAACTCAAAATCTGCAAGTGATGTTACTGTAGTTCATCAAATAGTCAACCAGATTTCAGACTGGATTTGGCATTTTTATCCACCTTTCGAGTCCTTGCCATGGACCTGGGATGGGCAGATGTGAATGTTTGATGATGTTACAGGTATCACTGCAGGATGTAAGCTGTTCCAAGTAAAGTGACTTTTTGCAATTGACTGATGATGATTTTTATAATATCAATTATGTTCAAATAGTGTTCCAGTTGTTTTAAGATTGCACCCAAGGGGCCTATTACTATTGATACAACTATTATTGTTGTATTTTTACTCTGCCCTTTTGGGGGGTGGGAGGTCAATTCAAGGCACAGAACATACTCAATATTCCTGCCTCCTATGCAGTGGGTTGGGTTGAGAGAAAGTGACTAGCCTAAACCCATCCAGGTGGCTTTCATGCTTATAGGAGACCTAGAAGTCACTGTCTTCTGATTTCTAGGCCAGTACCTTAACTATCACTCAAAGTGGTGGTACACAATATACAAATTGCATTATAAATATCTCAGATATTTATAATGTAATTTGTGTATTGCATTAGTTTTTAAACCCTAATATACATTATTCTGATCAAATTCTGTAACTTTTTGTCAGATGTATGCAAAACTCTTATTTTATCTGATTAGATGTCTTCCAGTCAGTTTTAAACCATGAGAACCTTTTCATCACTATAATCAATGGATTATATCTGTGTGTGTGTGTGTGTGTGTGTGTGTAATAATTACAAAAATACCAATGGAGGTAAAGAAGGCAGTTGTGGTTTCATATACTAATGATAAAAACTGGAATGTAATACAGCAGATTCTTCAGTATTTTTCTCTGTGAATTAAAGAACACAGAAGTTTGAATTGGTGAAACTGAGCTTCATCTTATAGAAATTTAGATTGTTTGACTGATTGATGAGATATAAAACAAATTACATTGCAGCAAATTGAAAACAAAGCCAAGCAAGTATATGAATATAAGAAAAGAGTACTGCTTTAGTTCTTAATTATAATATAAGACCATTTATAGATAATCTGTTATAGAAGTGGGATTTTTTTTCATGCTGTTGACATTATGAGAACCCTTATTGTGTCTCCTCATTATCCTACTTTTATAATGTGACCTTTTAGTTGCATGTACTCTTTTGCTTCAATAACAGTAGGATGAAAGGAAAATACTGCATAGGCCCCTAGCTGCTGTATAAGCTCACCTATAGTGAAGGAGGATGCATAGTACTACATATGCCCATTTTTTAATACTGTAGTTATAAGTAACATAGATATTTGCTTATAACATATCACAATCATGGAAAATCAAAGCTCCAGTTTTCAAGGAACATTCTGAAATCCATGAACTCAGGTCGAATGGAACATGAGGTACAATCTCATGCAAACAGTATGTAGACTTTTCTATACTTATGATTATAGGGCAACTTAAATAATAAAAACATATTTTCAATTAAAAAATATCAACAAAAGCAATAATAAAATCTGTGGCAAAACATAATTATAACTAAGAAATAAAGTTAAACCAGAGAAGAGAATAATATATGGATGGAATTCTCACTGCCAGTGAGTTGCAGCCTTACTTGGAACACCTTACATCTTGCAATGAGATCTTTATGTCATCAAACAACATCTGCCTATTGCAGGTCTGTGGGAAGGACTTAAAAGGTGGACAAAAATGTCAAATCCAGTCTACATGTAGCATTTGATAACAACCACAAACTGTTGAAAAAGACATGAGATATGCATTTGCTTAATGATAAATTATACTTGCAAACCTTAAATAATATTCATGACTATAACCGCTAATTACTTAATATTTTAGCTGTAGTCAAGCAGATTACTAGGTTATATTTTTAAGACAAAGTAGTCCTGAATGAAAAGGTTTTCAAACTCTGTCACAGTAATCTTTCTTCAACCTAATTCATAAGACAGATAAATAGGGGGGTGTGTGTGTGTGTGTGTGTGTGTGTGTGTGTGTGTGTGTGTGTGAGGGAGGGAGGGAGAGAGAGAGAGAGAGAGAGAGAACAGTAATAAATAGTTCAGCTACAGAAACTTTCATTTATGTCCTTATTTTAAGAGCTTGCAAAGACAATCTGTTAGGAGTGAAGGAATAAATAGATCAGTCGTTCTGACAGGGCATGTTCCTGCCTTCCAGAGGTGGCTTAGATACTGAGCAGCAATGGCAATGAAGCTCAGCTTCCCATTCCATCTCTAGTTATTGACTCCTCTTGAAGGACAATATTCTTCTACACAACTGAAACTGAGTAGTCCTCCAAAGCATGCTGGGGATGTTACCTCAACATCACCATTAAAGCCATTTTAATAATTAATCTGCCAATCATGTCCTTAACTCAGAGTTTTTGTGGACTGCAGCCTTAATTCTTTTCCAGATTTCAATTATTTTGTCCACTTTCTTCATAAAGGAGTTCTGATCTTCTGTTAGGCCACATTTACTATGGTTGACAGATTCCTCTTCTTCTAAATTGGTTGAAGACTGGAAAGAGAAAATAAAAGACAAACATTACAATTCTGCCATTTTTCTTCTCCTTTTCTTCATTAAGGAGAAAGATAGGATTGGACCCTTCTTTTGCTGTCCACTGGTCCATCAATTAAAAAGTCTATTGTTTTTTGTCCCATCAACTGTAATTTCCAATTCATAAATCTATTGGTGAACTTTGAAAGGAAAAATGGTGGTGAATGTCAGTGATTGCAGGGCAGGGGATTATTCCTACTGGATTCAATAACCAATTAGAATGAAGTTTTGTTCACAAAAAAATGAAAAGCAGCATGAATTCATTATTTGAATTAACCCATCCAATTCACCTATAACTAATTCCACTGAGTTCAGTGGGTCTTATTTCTGACCTAACGTGCATCAGATTATCCTTGCCATCAGCGGTTTTTATCCCAGCATAGTTTAAATTCTCATGTAATCTTTTAGTTTTCATCTTCAAATTATTACATCAGTTTCACTAGTATATTTTAGAAATATTGATATAGAGATATTTAACTGCTTTTACTGATTTATACATTCATAAATGCATATCTCTGCAGAAGTTTACTGTATTTCATATTCCGTTAATAATAAAACTTAGCTAACATATGTTTTTGTCAATCTTCAAGTTTCTAGAGTTACCAGCCTATAAAATCTTGAATGATTAGACTGTCATATTCTCAGAACGTATGCATTTTTGAGCAGTTATGGCTGATGACCTTAAAACTGACTTCATGTAAAAACAATTTGCCAAAGTATATTTAGATCCATTTTTGTCTATTTGCCAAGCTGAGTAGGGAAAATGACATGGAGAATCAAATGAATTATAACTGGATAATAATTTTAAATGTGTGAATGGATAAATAGGAATAACTGACATATTATTAGGAAATGAAGACTTTACCAGTCTGTGTTTCTGAAACTGTAAAATGTCTAGATACAATTCCTTAATCTCTTTCATCTGGTTCCTGATTCTGATACTAAACTTCAGTTAAGATTTGGTTTAAGTTTTGTTTTTTTTTCTGAAGAAAAAAAAACCCTAAATAGACATGTAATGTACTAAGATTGCATACGTGTATCTTTTCAAACTTTATTATTATTAAATGGTAGATCGTATTGCGAAAGTTTTGTTAGAAGAGCAGCCAATAAATTGTCTATGTTATTATTAATTCAATATTGTTATATATTAATGCTAGTTATAATTTTAAGGGAAAGTTTTATTATTAAGAAGCAGCTAAGGATATTTGAGCTGGATGGACCAGAGACAATGACCGCAGTGGGTAATGGCGGATCTGAAGCCATTGTGGACTTTTTGTAAGTTAATTACAATAACAGATTGCTTAATTGCAGGCTTTGAAGTTTAGTTTTGCTGGTGGGAATATCTGTTAACTTTTTTTTCACTAGATAGATAGTAGGTCAAACTGTTTGGGTAAATAAAGTTGTAGAAGCTTATATATTGCAGATCTGTTTCACAAGGTGGGAAACCACTAGTGTTGAAATATATTTACCAGTATTCCACTGGTGGGGAATATGTGTATTTTTTTTTCTTTAATGCACATTTCTTTTGTTTTGTCCTTTGGTTCTTATGTTTTTGGGTTTTTTGGGAGGGGGAAGTTTGTATTTTAACTTCTGGATAAAATAAAATAAAAATTTGACAAAACATGTCATTACTAACTCATAAATGGGCAGAATAACTTTACAGCAACCTGACCTCATCTGGATTCTGGAGAACAGAATATAGCCAAGTATTTGCCCCTGTTTATTCTTGCTAAAATGTTTTCTCATAGAGCTTCATTGAGCTATGGGCATAACTATCTCAGTTTCTAGGGACATTAATAATTTATGGTTCAGAATTACATGCCAGTGTGCCAACTGAACATTCATTGAGACAATGCCCTACAAAATAAGCAAGCCTGTTGGTGAGGTCAATATCACTATGGCAGATCGTTACCCAATGCTTTTCTGCAAAAGGTAAGTAATGTGCTCTGCTTGGCACCAATGTATCCATGAATCTCCTCTTGGCACCTGCCAGAATCCCTGGCCCAAATGTTTAAATTCTTTTTAGATTCTTTTGTCTTAAGGGAAAGTGGCATACTGCAAACAGAATGCCAGCCTATAGCATCATCTTTACTTTTATCCATGCCTTTGGGGTGAAGGTTCTATAAACTTTCATAGAAAATAAGAAATGGTAGGTGGTTGTCTCTCAAAGGAGTTTTGCAGATGTGCTACCTGCTTAGAAAGCAAAAAAGGAGATGAAATGTGAAGCAATAGAAAGCAATACAGGAGAACAGGGAGGGGGAAATTTTTCAATAAATTTAAGTTAATTAACTTAAATATAAAATTTAATAAATTTTAATAATAGGGATTTTGGGATAAACCATAGCTACCATGGCAGCCATTTTATGGGTAGGCAAACTTTCCTATAACGGCCATTTTATGAGAGCACTCACAAGATACTTTTAAACCAAGCCAAAAAAAGTTATATATTTTTTCAAAATAAATGCAAAACTTTAAAAGAGTATGCAAATGTGGAAAATTTGCACAGCCAAGAATATTATCATGAAAACAGTTCAGCCCCATCAGGCTACCTAACATGAAGCACATTTAACTAATATTGCAATGGTTTTTTGTTCCATGGAAATTTAATTTCATTTGTCAAGAATGTGACCATATACATGAAGGAATTTTCTGTGAAAGAAACTGATGGATTGCTGTAAATGTTACTACACAAAATAATGAAAATACAAATATAGCTGTGGATTTGTGATACAAAGAAATGTATCAGGAAGAGACAATGTTTCCTTGACAAAATAGTCACATCACATTCTTATATCTTACAGAATTAATGAAGGCTAAATTCAATAGTATACAATGAAATATAAATCCAATCATTATTTGATAAATTATTTAAATAATTGTGGTAATTAAATTACTAATCATTAAGCACATATAAATATCAGTATAACATTCAAATAAAATAAATATAATTGGGCTGCCGTAGCCCCATTTTTATTGAATATTGGCTAAGTTATTTCACTGATATTTATAAAAACAAATTCCAGAACAATTTGAAAATGTGATGGGCAATAGAAATGCCATGCAAATAAACTAATTCCTTTTCTTAAATGCAAAACACTTTAATCTTTCATTAAGATTCTCTCTAGGTAAATAGATTTGTTGAAATTATAGTGACCTTAAAAACTATCATCAACATTTTTGACCTTACTTCTTCATGGTGCTATTTTAACAAAAAACAAACAATGTTGATAGAGGGAAGGAATGCTGAAGAGAACATCTAATAAAAACAATTCATTCTGATGAAAAAAACAAAAATAACATTTTTAATCCATAATAGCCCACATTTATTGTCCTATTAGTTCTAACTCATCCCTTAAATATAATATCTGTATAAAAATATAATCATAATTGATTATAATCAATTATAATATAATGTAATCATAATTGAGCTCCTTTAAGAAATATTTATTAATTGCACCTATGATCAAAAGATGCTAATTTTTTACTTGCATTCAATAGTTGTTTCAAAATGATTAGGTGACTAGGAGGGAAATGTTAAATAAAGTCTTATGGTATATCAGAAGTAACAAGTATTTTGAGTCCAGGAACTGCCCTATATATTCCAGTCCTTGATGGCAAGAGAAAGTTGTCTGTAAACTGCTGGTATTACTAGAGAGGGAAGCAGGGCGTTAACTTCTGATTCTATTGCTCTATTGTTTCTGAATCAGGAAATGCCCCACCGTGACCAATTTGCAACAGTCCACTCACCGCAACCAACTCACTGCTTGACAACTTGCCATAGCCAACTTGCTGTGGAACAACTTGCCGCAGGACAAGAGTTACACTACCATGAAAAAATGGTGGAATAAAATCATTAAAGAAAACAGGCAAAAGGAGAGATAAAATGAATGAATGACAAAAATTGTAATAATTTTTAAATTATTTTAAATAATTAAATTGAATTGTTGAATTGATCCATAGCAAGTTGTCCTGCAGTGAGTTGGCCATGGTGAATTGGCCATAGTGAGTAGGGAGCGGTGAGTTGGCTGCAGCAAATTGTCCCATTTTGACCTAAACTCCCTTTATTTTCTGGAATGCCACCATGTACACAAGGAATCTTTAGATATAGTGGGCAGAATTTCATTATCATAAAGAGGAAGAAGAATCTTGTCCATTTCAAAGACCCTGAACAAGTGGAGTCCAAAGTACCAAGAATTTTTTTTTACAAACAAATTGATCTGCCAGCTACTGTGCTCATCATCAGAGGTTGTTATAGTTAGGGAAGAGGTATATCTCTAGAAATAAGTCAAGTGTGTATTTGTTATGAATGAAATACAAGCTGAATTAATCTTGATGTTTGATATCTCCACATTATGTCATGTTATTCATTGGTTTTCATATACAGTAATGAGCAGCACTGATGATGTTACCTTGTTTGGACAATGAAATGTCTGCAAGGAAAAAAGAGAGAGAACTCAGAGAGCTCAGAGAACATCAAGGACCCCTTACTTCAACCTGAGCTACAAATATTCTTCTTTATTGGTATCTTATTTATGTATTATATATGATCGTAATCCATTACATTTATACTATGCTTAATGTTATATTTTCCCAAGATGTGTGGTATGAGGGGAAATAAATACTGTATTTTTTTTAAGGCTGAAGGTTATGCAAACAAAACATTTTCTTGCATAGATTTTGCTATTCATTTCAAAGCAATGACAATCTTTCATCCTTCCTTCCTTCCTTCCTTCCTTCCTTCCTGCCTTCCTACCTTCCTTCTTTCCTTCTTTCTTTCCTTCCTTTCTTCCTTCTTTGCATACTAAATATGACAGATTTACATTTCCCTGTAGAAAGTGAGAATCTTCTGTGCATATAATTGAAATTTGCTATTATGAGCACAACAGAACTTAACATAGAAAGAAAGATAACATAATCTCCTCTTGTATTGAAATATGTAGGAGGAGAGACGTTATAAACAATGTAGGCTTTGTTTCTTTTCTCCAAATGTTTTAATTCAGTAATGTAGAGGTTTTTAATCTGCTGTGAAAGAAATGGTACATAAATGTATTGCACTAGATCCAGAATTAATGGAATTTAATTAATCCCGTTAATCAGAGGGATTTAAATTAGTCCTCAAAATATGACTCAAGGCTCCTCCAAATGCAGCATTTGCACTACTCCAGGGTGGGCTCTGTATTTGTATAATCACATTCTATCTTCACCATTGGGCTATAGAGACGATTAATTTCTGGTTCATCAGCACTGCAGAAAACCTAGCTGTAAACAAGAGTTCTACAACTGAAACATTGGAACTCTGACCCATTGAGAGAAGGTCTCGGTTCACCCTCCTCTTGAGTTTTCATCTTTCCTCCTTCTGTGCAGGGATAAGGCACTGCATCATATGATGTCTGCTTTAGTCTTTTTAAGTAGGGTGTGTGGAGTAAGGGCGTGGCATTGCAGCCTTTCTCACAGTGGCAATTTTTTTAAAAAAAGATCATATGAAAACAAGTTTAGGACATTTAGGACGATGGTGAGACACAATCTGATTGCTGATTTCTGTGCTGCCCGATTGGTTAGCTCAAAAAAGCCAATGAGATGAGATGGAGAACAATCTGGGTGTGATTCATTGGTTTGTGAGAGTGTGGAAATGGCTAAAGTCCGGATATAATGTAGATTTATGAGATGGTATTATATCTGAAATCATTATTTATTTCTAATAAATTCACTAAGATTTAAATCCATTTTCTCTTTGCTTATAACCATATAAGAACCTGATCTACTTCTTTTCCACAATTTCCTAATATAACCTGTTTAGTTTATATATTTCTTTATATATATATAAGGCTGGTGGTGCTGTGCTTGTTGAAAAACTTACCCAGTTGTTCCGATCTTATCTGGAAACAAGGTTCCATTCCCCAGGAACTGAAAGATGCGTCCATTATGCACCTCTACAAGAGGAAAGAAATCGACAAGTCTGCGATAATTATAGAGGAATATCACTTCTCTCCATCGCAGGCAAGATCTTTGCACGAGTGTTGCTAAATTGCCTGACTGACCATCTGGAACAGGGCATGCTACCTGAGACACAGTGTGGTTTCCGCAAAGTGCATGGCATGGTGGACATGATCTTTGCAGTTTGACAGGTCCAGGAGAAATGTCAGGAGCAGAATTGTGAACTATACACCACCTTTGTGGATCTCACCAAGGCTTTTGACACAGTTAGTCGTGAAGGATTATGGTGCATTATGTCGAAGTTTGGGTGCCCTGACAGATTTATTCTGATGGTATGGCAGTTCCATGATGGCATGGCAGCTCATGTTCAGAGTAACGGTGGAGCCTCAGAGGCCTTCCCTCTCACTAACGGCAATAAACAAGGCTGCCCTGTTTAGCAGGATGTTTTCAGCCATGCTGTCAGATGCCTTTTAGAACAGCTCAGTGGGAGTTAATCTGAGGTACAGAACCGATGGGAAATTGTTCAACCTGCGAAGACTTCAGGCTGTCACCAAGGTAAAGGAGACTGTGCTACGAGATTTCCTCTTTGCTGATGACTGCGCTCTTAATGCAGGATCGGAGCAGGAAATGCAAGCCAGCATGGACAAATTCGCAGCTGCTTGTGACAACTTTGGCCTCTTCATCAACACAAAGAAAACTGAAGTGATGTACCAGCCAGTTCCAAAAGCCCAATATCAAGAGCCTACTATCACAGTAAAGGGACAAAAGCTGCAAGCAGTGGACCAATTTACGTATCTTGGTAGTACCCTCTCCCGTGCAGTGATAATTGACAATGAGGTCAACTGTAGAATTGCCAAGGCAAGTTCTGCATTTGGCAGATTGCGGACTAACATGTGGGACCGCCATGGAATAAGCCTTGCTACTAAGCTTAAAGTTTACCAGGCAGCAGTGCTAACTACCCTGATGTATGCTAGTGAGACCTGGACAGTGTACAGGAGGCACGTTAGGCAACTGAACTACTTCCACATGACTTGCCTTCGTAGATTTCTGAGGATTCGATGGCAGGATAAGATACCAGACACAGATGTCCTCTCCAGGCCTATCATCAGTTTACACTCTGTTAATGAAAGCCCAGATGCGCTGGGCAGGCCATGTTGTAAGGATGCCAGATCATCGCATCCCTAAACAGCTCTTCTATGGTGAGCTGTCTCAAGGAAAACGATTGCACGGAGGACAAAAGAAGCAATACAAAGACATGCTAAAAGCCTCTCTTAAGTCCCTGGACATTAACACCATCTCTTGGAACCATGGCACACCTTGAGTTCAATAATGCAATCGTCGATCTCCGGGAAGAGTATAATCTAGTTATTTATTGTTAAAACAATATTTAAAACAATAAAAACAGTTATATACAAAGTTAAAAACAACTTAGCTTTCGCTGATCCTCTGCCAGCATCCTCAGAGTGAGGCTCAGGGGGTGGAGAAGTTTTTTTTATACCCTTGCCGATCTAACTGCTTGCTCATTGCTCGTGTGATAGGGCCACTCTTCCACAGACAGAATCAGCAAGATCCTCCACAAACATAACATCAAGATAGCATTCTGCACAAACAGAAAAATATCCACCATCCTAAGAAACCCCAAAGACAAAATTGAGTTAGAAAATCAAGGAGTATATGAAATCCCATGCACCGCTTGTCCTACCACATACATCGGACAAACCAACAGAAGAATAAGTGCATGCATTGAAGAACATAAGAACTCAGTCAAAAAAGAGGTACCAACTTCTTCCCTGGTCCAACACCTTAAAGCCACAGGACATGAAATTGACTTTAAAAAGACCAGAACTATCGCCAAAACTGAACACTTTAATAACAGAATAATTAGAGAAGCCATTGAGATAGAAAAATGCCCACACAGCATGAATAAATGAGATGAAACCTCCCACCTATCAGCCATGTGGAAACCAGCCCTTATTGAAAAACGAGTCCCCAACACAAAGAAGGACACCAGACCCACACTCATGAAAACCACACAGGATGTCACCACCAAACATCCATGCAAAAAGCAAACCCAAACCCACACCGATGATGAGGCACGACCACAAACCAGAAGCCAGACCACAGCTGCATCATTAGCCACTTTAAACCCTTCAATCCATACATGAAGCAAATTGACACCCGCCATGAAGATGAGGCACGACCACGAATGTGAAGACAAACAAAAGCAATGCAGCTCAGCATCTCACATCCCCCTGCAATTCAGACTAACCTGAGCACAACAAAGCCCCCACCCAAACAGAACACTCCCCCATCCAATCAGAGTACAGCCAACCCCCCATCCAATCAGAGCACAGCCAAGCTTCTAACCAATCAAAACACACCTCCACCCAATCAGAACACAGCCAGGCTCTCACCCAATCAGTTCATACCCCCACTGGCAGTTAAAAGGAAGAAACAGCTACGATCACCCATTGCTCCTAGAAGCATGAAGCCGAAAACACCAGCCTGAAGATGACGAATGAGACTTCGTTGAAACGTCGCCAAGACACTTCCAATTTGACGCGGGAGAAAACCCGAATAACCAAAGACCTACATAGAAACACCCGCGAAAACCTCAGAAAACATATATATATGTTTTCTGAGGTTTATATATATTGTTCAATAACACAATCTTCGATCTCCGGGAGAGGTATAAACCAGTTGTTTATTGCTAAAAAAATATTTAAAAAACAATAAAAACAACTATTTACAATGTTAAAAGAAACAACTTAGCTTTTGCTGGTCTCCTGCCAGCGTCCTCAGAGTGGGGCTCAGGGGGTGGGGAGATTCTTTTTATACATCTTGCTGGTCTAACTGTTTACTCATTGCCCATGTAATAGGGCCATCCTTCCTGATTAACTGTAATTGCCTTGGTTGCCCCGCCTTCTCTTTTTTGCACTCTAATTCCACACTTTTCCCCTCTCTCATCCTTGTCAATCTCCTCCTTCCCAACACCATTGCTGACGGTGTGCTCTCTAACCGCTCCCTCTCACTCATTCCAGGCTGTGCAGTGTTCCAAAAGGCTTGCCATCAGAGCTCCCTTCCTTTCTGGCCCATTGGTCTGCACGCTGTTCCTGCCTGCCATCATCCATTCCTGTCAGTCTTTTTTTCTCCGATTTCCCTCCACCCCAAGGTGTGCACATGCTCCATCTTGCCTCATCCTTCTGCTCCATCTGCCCACAACTGGTGGGTATGCCTATTGGCTTGCTCTTAGGCTCAGCCCCTCTCATCCTCATTAGCCTTATCTTCCCCAATTTCCTTTCACACCTGGATGTGCGTGCGCACGATCGTGTCCTGTCTCTCTACCTGTCTGCCTATGGTCAGTTGGACTATCCAACCTCCCCCCCCTTTTTACCCCTTTCCCACTCCTTCCCCCTCTTGGCTAACCCTGTCCTGTTTGGTATTCCTGCCTTATGTGTTTTGGGTCATACGGTCAGGTCCGGCATTCCCAATGTCCCCTCATTGTCACCTCCCCCCTGGGACTCTTCACCATGCTCACTTCCTCCCTCCTTTTCACCCCATCCATCCATCCGTGATTCCAATATTTCACCATCCATCCCTATTGTCCCTATTCCCTCCAAATCCTTTCTTTGCCTAGCCATGAGATGGCTGCCTTCCCCGGTTCTGGTTCTGCCTCTGGTAAGTGCCATCCGCCTCCTGACTTGCTCCTCATGTATTTTTAATGTCTGGTATGCCAGGGGCAATTCTATGCATCAATTGATTGAATCCATGTTGGAGAGCCAGGCCTCCTTCAGCAGGCATCCTCCTTTGGAGGCATCCTGGGTGATGGCTTCTGCTCCCTTGAAATCGAATGAGTGCCCGGATGCCATATGCATCCATATTTGGGAATACTGCTCCTGCCTTCTAATGGCCAATATGTGTTCATGTATTCTGATTTTTATCCGTTTGGCCGTCTCCCTCATATAGTTACATTGGCAATCCTTGCAGTGTACCCTGTATATGACCGATGACTTTTCTTCCTTTGGTAGCGGTTCCTTGGGATGTATCGCTTTCATCTGAAGTGTTTGGTCGGGTCAGTGAGCCACTTGATGTTATAAGGCGCTAATATGTGCGCTGTTGCCTCTGCTACTCCCTGGACATACAGTGTCGTTGTCCAGGATGTTTTCCCTGGGTCATCCGATGCCCTGCGGGGTTCTTGGTGTTTGCTGTATCTTCAGATGAAGCTGGTTGGGTAGCCATTCCACCTACACAACTGATGGAGGCGGGCACGTTCCACTTGCTTGGCCTTTTTAGTGTTACAGTGCATGTCTATGCGTGCAAATAACGTCCTAACGCATGCGATCTTATGGGCTGCTGGATGATTACTTGTGTAATGCAGTAGCCTATCAGTGTGAGTGGCTTTCCTATATACTGTCGTTTGGAGGGCACCATTGGTTTGGCGTGTGACTAACACGTCCAGGAAGGCCAAACTGCTGTTGGCTTCCTCCTCCGTCGTAAATTGTATGTCTGGGAATATTGCGTTCAATTTTTCCATAAAGGCAGTTTTTTTCGTTCGTTTGATAATGGCGGACGTGTCATCCACATATCTGGCCCAAAACTCCGGTTGGTAGTCAGCCATTGCTTTAGCCTCCAGGCACTGTAGGACCGCCTCGGCGATGACCGCCGAGATGGGAGATCCCATCGGCGTGCCCTTAATCTGCTCATATATTGTGTCCTGGAACGTGAAGCGTGTTTTTAGATATAATTGTAATAACCTGACAATGTCCTCCATCCTAAGGGAACCCTGACTTCGCAATCCCTTTAGTTGTAATAAATCCTTTATTGTTGAGACAGTCAGTTCTTGTGGGATGGATGTGAATAGTGATGTCACATCAAATGAGACCTTTTTGCAGCTATCAAGGATATATATATATATATATATATATATATATATATATAAACTTTTTAAAGTTTCTTTTGTTTTCTCCTTTAGCTTCAAGGACACAATGTCTGAAACAAGGTCAGAACAATTTGTTGATTACAGCTTGTTGACTAATTTAATCGTAACTTACCCATTTATCTATATGATTTCCCAAAGAAGGGAATATCAGAAAAGCAGCAATGTGAAAATAAGCCATCCAGGAATGATTAGAACTCCTACAGCTACAGTTATGCTTTAAGTGGAACACTGGCAATCATGCATTTAAGGCCCGTCAAATCAAGTGTAGACAAAGCAATGTTGTAAAGTTACAGGGCTATTTTTGGCAAAATTATCTCTTGAATATTTTTAGTCCTTTGGAAAACTTCAAATAATATAAATAATAAATCTCTATTATTTATTATTATGATGAAATTACAATTATGATTACAAGAGAAGCCTACTTTTAATGTAATGTTACAATTTATATGCCATTTTACCCTTGCAGAATTTGTTGATTTTGACCACATGCCATATTCATGACTTTATTTTCTCATTCTTTTCTCATAATAAAAAACAATATTAAGTGCTCATTATAATTGCAGGTATCCTGTTTGATAACCATTTCTAGGTGATCTCATTCTCAATTTTCCCTTAATATTAAATATGTACAACAGCATATATGTTGTCATATGATTTCTCATATTCCTAGGCTGGCTCTTATAATGTTTCATTGTAAGTTTAATTAGTTCTGCTTAATTTTAATAGCAGCAGCAGCAGTGGTAGTAGCAGCAGCTGCAACAAAAAGAACAATAATATTTTTTTAAAAAATGCAATAGCAGTAGCTATTCTTTCAGTAATAGTGGATAAAATGTAAATTTATTGGGCAACTTTTTTGTCATATTAGATATAATTTCAAGGTTTAATGGTTCAGTTACAATCTCTGATTTTCTATATGTGTCATTCTGCCTTTATCTAATTTATAATATACAGTATTATTTCCATTCTCCAAGGAACTTACAAGTGAGAGATATCAAAAGAAGAGAACCAAAAGTGCACAAGGTTAAACAGAAAAAGAGCATATCATATTTTTAATCAATACCTAGGTTTTGTTAGAGCAAGAAAAATAGATGGCAGTGGGAAAGTGAGCTTAAGAATATTTTTGAAGAAAGCAAGAACTATTACATTGGGGGAAAAGGAATAGTGGAAGAAAAGGACATGCTACTGAGCCCAGAAAAAAACCAGAAATAATATATCAGGTAGCTATATGGGAGCCTCATACATTTTGATTTTTAAATGCCCTGAAATACTATTTCCAATTTTCATTTGCATTTTCTTCCTGACTGGACTTCTATTACCTAATTATATTTTTAGTTTGCTATTATACTGCCAAACTACTATATTGTATATTTTTACCATGCTGTTCATAACATACAGGATTTTCACAAGTGTTAATCAATGGCTACATATGCAATCTTATACTATCTTCTGAGTATATTCTGAGCAGGGAATGAATAGAACTTAAAGTTCATTTACTAAATACTTTAACCAACTTTGTTCAAGAATGTAGAATACCTACTTAACAATCTTTCTTGCATGAAGTGCCGGCATGTATCTGATCTATATTTTAGGTTGTGGTTGCACAGCTAATATCTCAGTGAATCCTAGAAAAATTCTTCAATAGACGAGTTTCATAAATCACC